TTGTTGTTTCTTATCACCTTTTACTCAGTTCATACAAGTTTATTAAATAATTGACAATATTCACTTATTCACCCGTCTGCTTGTCGGCATCTCTATCTCTTTCTGTCTACATTTATATTTCTCTATCTCTGTCTATCTATTCATCTACATTATGATGAATATATTATGCACAGGTGATGCTCTGTTAAGCAGGACCAACTAGACCCAGAGGCCGAGCACGTAGCCTGGATTTATGACAGATATTAATGAGTGATAATGATAGTAATAATGATACTTTTACTGATAATGACAATGATAATAATGATAAACATGATAATATGCTTATTATTAATAACAATAATAATGATGACCATGGCCATGGTAATGATAATGATAACAATAAGAATAAGGATGATAATAATAATAATAATGGTAATGATAATGTAAATAATGACAATGATAATGATAATGATGATTAAAAGCAGAATAATAATTACTATGATAATGATGACTATGCTGATGCTGGTGGTGATAATAATGATAACGATAGTAGAGATGATTAAACTAAAAAGGATAGAAAATAATGATAATAGTGATAAGGACAACTCTAATGCTGAAAAAAATAATAATGACAAAGAATGATCATAGTACTCACATAATAACAATGGTAATAATGATAATAATAATGATACTGATGAGGATGATGATAAAGATAATAACAATGATAATGATGATGATGATGATGACACCAATAAAAATAGTAATGATGATGATGCAAATGATAATAGTGATTATGATGATGATGATACAAATGATAATGATGTTGATGATACAAATGATAATGATGATGATACAAATAATATAATGATAATGATGATGATATAAAATATGATGAAAATAATGATGATACAAATGATAATGATGATAATGATGATACAAAATATGATATGATAATGATGATGATGATGATACAAATAATAACATTAATGATGATGATACAAATAATAACAATAATGATGATGATACAAATAATAACAATAATGATGATGATGATACACATAAGAATTATAATGATGGTGATGATACAAATAATAATGATGATAACGATGATGATGATGATACATATGATAATAACGGTAATTATGATGATGATGAAAATGATAATAATAATGATAATGATGATGATACAAATGATAACAATGATAATGATAATAATGATGATGATAATACAAATACTATTAATAATAACAACAACAATAATGATAATGATATCAAAATGATGATAAAGACGATTGCAAATATTATAATGAGGTTGGTAATAATAATAATAATATCAATAATGATAATGATAATGATAATAATGATGATAATAATGATAATGGAAATGATAGTAATAATCATAATGATAAAAACAATACTAAGAATAATGAAACTAATGATTACCATCATGATAGTAGTAATAATGATAATGATTATTATCATCATTATTATTATTACTATTAAAACAATAGTAATGATAATAACAATTGTTATCATTATCACTATTTTGATTATCATCATTATCATCATTATAGTTATTGTTATTATAGCAATCTGTATATTTTAACCTTACATGAGATATCATCAATTTCTTTGGTGTCAATTGCGTTTGTTTCCCTCATAAGTTTTTTCGCTCCCAGGACACAAGTGACCTCGAACAGGGCTTGCTATACATCAAAATGAAGCTAAAGGAAAGGGCTTTTCAGCATGGTGCACAATCTTTGAAAATATGATGCTGTGTGTTAGCTGTGAACATGTTTATATTAAACATTTCGATTAAAGAAATGATAATAGCTCGCTGTCGATCATCTGACCATATAATTCGCATTCCGCTAGCCATAAGCTGTCTCTTGAAATCAGAATGGGATTTGTAGCAGTGATGATGATGATGAGAGTGATGATATGTAGATGATAATGATTATTATAATGATAAGGAAGAGGAGGAGGATACTGGCGATGATGGTGATGATAATCGTAATGATGATATTAATGATAATAATAATAATATCGATAATAATGGTAATGATAAGGATAATGTAAATTATAAAAGTAATAACAATGGAAATGATAGACATAATAATGATGATAATAATAATGATAATAACGATAACAATAACGATAAAGGTAATGATGATGATGACAACAATGATGATAGTAATAACAATAATAACAATAATGATAAAAATAATAATATTTATAATGATAATGATAATGATGAAAAGAATAATAACATTATTGATAATAAATGCAATAACAGCAATGGAAAATATGATAATCAATAACAATAATGATAATCATAATAATTGTAATAATATTCTTGATAATAATTATCATCATCATTATTATTATTATTATTATTATTATTATTATTATTATTATTATTATTATTATTATTATTATTATTATTATTATTATTATTATTATTATCATCTTTATCATTATCATTATCATTATTATTATTATCACAATTGTTATTACTATCATTATCATTATCATTATTATCATTATTAATGATAATGGTGATACTGGTAATAGTAATAATGATAATAAAAATTATGATAATAGTAATAATAATAATTATAATAATAATAATAATTATAGTAATAATATTGGTTATAGTAATAATAACGATAATCATTACGATGACAATAATAGTAATAATTTTTATGATAAGATGATAATGCTAATGATGAAAATAAAGAGAATATTAGAAATAATGATAATGAAAATAATCATTAAAACAATAATAGTAATAGTGATGATAAGTATGATATTAACCATAACAGTGATGCTGCTACTAAAAAGGACAACAATAATTATAAGGAAGATAATCGTAATAATAATGAAAATAATCATAATGACAAAAATGACAATAACAATGAATATCATCATTATTATCATTATTATTACTTGTATTACTATTTTTATTATTGTTATCATCATTGATAATGTCATCATTAGTATTATTATTAATAGTAGTATGGCAATGATGATAATAAAAACAACAGAAATAATGATAATGATTATGTAATAATAATAATGAAGATAATGGTGATGATAATGATAAAAGTAATGGTAATTACAATAATGATGATTACAATAAAATATGAGAAAACCAACAACAACGATAATGATGAAAATAGCAAAGGTGATACTGACAACATAAAAATGAAATTATTATCAATATCAGTAATGATGCAATAATAGTAATAGCATTGTCAATGATAATGAAATAACATCAATCATGATAATAACAAATGTATAATTGAATAAAACAACGCGTATTTCACAGGAAAAGGTGTAATTATTTGCTGGATTCAGTTATACCTTAATTGACATATGTTGAAAGAGACGTAGGTGAGTCTTGCGCTTCGTGGCCCTTTCTTGTTGCCGTAGGGCATTATGGGTAATAAGAGGAACAAAACCTGAACGAAATCTTCAGGAGATGGAACACTATATTATGAACTGATTACTTGAATTATCTGATGGCACAAATAAACAACAAATAATGGAAATAACGATAATGTTTATAACAGATGAATGTATATTTGATTTGGTATTACTTTACGTTACCATCCCCTAATACAAATACACCACAATGATTAAAAAGTATTTTAAGAAATAAGAATGATTTATGAGAGCTTGTGCAGGGACAATTAGACAGTATTGTGAATAACTGGAATGACTGACTGAAGAAATTGTTATCTTATGTAACATTGCAGGTTGAAATACTCATCACAGACTTTCTTGAGTGGTTCTTGCTGCAACGATAATACTACCAGTGATAATTATTCAAATTGATCATTTTGATAATCATATGACGATAATCAAATAATGAATGGTAATCTAAAAATGGTAATAGTAAAAACAGAAAAATAATGATGATAATAATCAATCATAATGCTAACGATAATAATCATAAAAATAATTATAACCACAAGATAATAACAGTAATGACGATGATGATCGCTGATAATGATTATTATTTGTTTATATATATGCACACACACACGCACAAACACACATACATACATATATACATATGTATATATATGAATATATATATATATATATATATATACATATATATATATATATATATATATATATATATATATATATATATATATGTATGTATGTATGTATGTATGTATGTATGTATGTATGTACATATATATATATATATATATATATATATATATATATATATATATATATATATATATATATATATATATATATATATATATATATATATATATATTTATATTATATATATATATATATATATATATATATATATATATATATATATATATATATATATATATATATATATATATATAATATATAATATATATATATATATATATATATATATATATATATATATATATATATATATACATACATATTTTGTGTGTGTGTGTGTATGTGTGTATATATATATACGTATACATTTATATATTCATTTATTTCTTTATTTATTCATTTATTTATTCATTTATTCATCGATTTACCTTTTCATTTATGTATATACATATACATACATATATATATATATATATATATATATATATATATATATATATATATATATATATATATATATATCTATCTATCTATCTAATCTATCTATCTATCTATCTATATCTATATATATATATATATATATATATATATATATATATATATATATATATATATATATATATATATGTATATGTATGTATGTATGTATATATATACATAAATAAATATACATATAATATATATATATATATATATATATATATATATATATATATATATATATATATATATATATATATATATATATATATATATAACATACACACACACACACACACACACACACACACACACACACACACACACACAACACACATATATATATATATATATATATATATATATATATATATATATATATATATATATATATATATATATATATATAT